GTACAAATATAGCATGATAGGTCCACTTTAAGTATGAAAGGTGTCCCCTTTCACTCTCACTTCACTTTTACTTAGATTATTTTATTGTAAATAAGGGTTAGTGCACACTATTAAATACAAGTTGTAAAAAAAAGAAAATCCAGGATGAGGCAAAATAGTTTTGTTCTGACCTGAAGGCCCCTGCTATAAATACATAAAACTAATATGGGCATGAAGTTTTAAAGGCTCCAAAATACATCTGATAAAAAACCAAAATAGGGCATCTTTTCACTGAAGCTGCCTAGAAAGAGGTCTCTTCAGGTCAAGCAGCACCAAGGGGAATGGTTTAGGAAACCAAAAACAGTTTGAATATACATATGGGCCTGTGAGTGCTGTTTTAAGATCAACTTGATAAGATGAAAACATTTCCTTTTAAGTAATCCAAAGCTGTGACTACGCCCTCTGAACACAAGAGGGCACTATCAACACATCCATTTACAATGTTCTGTAGTAAAACCAATTCTGAACTGCTGTCTTAAGTCACTATAACAGCCAGAAAGTGATTCTAATAATTTCTGGAAAAATGATATAGCTCAGAAAATGCACAATAATGGAGGAATGTAATCACCTAGAAACTGGACAGCAAAGTAGCACGCTTCACTGAGCAGAGTCCACTGGATGATGATCTTCTCTGCTGTGTAGAGACCATTCCACAAGATGACGGCCAGGCCTGGAAAAAATATGTGATAAAAAAGAGAATTTATATGTTGTGGGGTATTGGAAAGAAAACCAAATAAAGCTCAGGAAAGAAGAAGACTCCTACACGTCCCAGAGCGATTCCATAAACAGAAGTACTATACTGTACATTATATACATCTACTCATCTAGTCCATGTAAGGCAAATCAATACATAATATGGATTCAAACATCTATTGGTTTACATTCTTCCAGGTACAACCAGTGCTAGTCATCTCTTTTCTCGACCTTCAGTTCTCCAGCGTTATTGTCTTTGCTCATAGCTAGCTAGTAATGTCAATTTCTGTGTAATTGAGATATAGCTAAATTAACAACACAGTCAAATGCTCTGTATGTGTACACACAATAGGCCAATAAAGATGACTCTGAATCTATGGGAACAGTTTTCTTGCAGCTGTAATATGTGATGCCGCGTGCACACGGTGATAATTGGCCTATTGATTTCTTTGAATGTTTCGACTCATTGACCGTGATAAACGCTTGTGCTCCACCATTTTAATCCCTGCCATTCTTCCAGTTCATTTCCCTCTGTTTCAGTCCCACCCACCCACACAAACATGGTGAGGCGATGGGAATGAGCAGAAAGGTGGGAGGGCTGATGGACCGTCTCCCCTCCCCGCCAGGTTCCATCTGTGTGGCAGATGAGACCCCGTTCTTCTACCCTTTATACCGCTCCTCGTCTTGGAAGACATCATCCATTATCTTGGCTAATCCCGACCGCCCTGCTGACATTTAAACGAGGCACCTCTTTGGCTGGCCTTGTTAGATTGAGAGCTGGTTCATTCATATCTTCCTCCACACAGTCATGTGTTCAAGATTTTATCTCCTCAGGCAATGCGGTTATCATGCAGAGGATGTTTTAATTATTTGTTAGATTTCATATTGGTTCAGATTTATGTGTATATGTGTAAAATGTGAGGGAGGAGGAAACATGTTAGATCTAATCTATATTTTAATAGATACCCCTATAAAGGTGAAATGCTGATGTTCTGACATATGTTATGGTAAATAAACTGGTTATCGAGTGGATGCTAAGCCTTTTGCCTCACCATTCTTTATTTCCCTGCTTACTTTCCCATTAAAAAACAACCTGTGTGTCTCTCTGCCACTGTCGCATCACGAACGCTCATCAATATCCGAGTGGCTGACTCACCGACTCGTCTCTAAACCTCCAGACTAAGGAGTCTATTTAAATATATCGCAAAAACTGTAATTTCCTGGCATATTTATTTCCACGGATTGACTTCTGTGGCACAGAAGAGCAAAAAAAAAAACTTCAATGTCTTGCTTGATACAGAGAGTGAGCTGCAACAATGTATTGTGGATTAATACACTGCCTCTTCTCTTACTTTCAGGCCAATACGCGCACGCACACACATTCCTACAGAACATACACTGTCCTGCCAGCCCTCACTGTGCTCCCACCGGATTTAGATCTGATATATGAGGCCAGCGAGGCGACTGGAGCCCTTTCTGTGAGCATGCTTGATAATTTGTCTCTGTCAAGTCGTTATTTAGTGAACCAAACATAGAAGGAACTGAATACAATTACACAGCCTTTGTTGTAGCCTTAAGGGATGCCTTGGCAGAAGCAAAAAGCTTTTTTTACTTCATCTGAATGTGCGTGCGTGAACTGTAATGAATGCATTATCACAAAGGACCATGTGCAGATTAGCAGTGTACATTTTTGCGAACGTGTATGTTAAAACGGTGTGTTAGCATCCTTGTAGCACAGTGAATGGGAGGCGTGTGGTGCAGTGGGTTGTGCGTTGGTGTTGGGATCAGGGGGTCACAGGTTCAAAGCCCACTGCAGTCAGCATGTCGTTGTGTCCCTGGGCAAAACACTTCACCCCAAATTGGTCCTGTGGGGATTGTCCACAGTATTGAGTATGTAAGTCGCTTTGGATACAAGCAACGTGTAATGTAATGTAAATGAACTCCCACATAAATAACTGTGGTTTAATCACAGTGCTGCACGAGGGAGCATGAACAGGAGAGAAGACTTACTAAGCAGTGCTCCTCCATAAAGGCGGATGGAGAGGCAAGTTGTGGAGAGCTGCTCCTCAAAAACAACCTCATATAGCTGGTTAGGAAACACCAGGGCCTGTGTGGGAAAACAAAGCACAACACAGTCTGTCTTTTCAACTCAACAGAATTCTGTCTTCCACAAATGCATTGACAAAGTCTTCCTTTCTGTGAGTTAGACTCTCTTTATGATCCAAACACTGTGGGCATTTAGGTTCAACAAAGATGGAGCTGTTTCTCCAGATGGCCCTCCCTGATACATCGGGAAAGAATCTACAGTAACCCCCCTGCTGGGTTTGCATAATGTGATTTCTCTTATTTTGACAATGAGCTTTTTGTTCTGTAATTACGGTACAACGGGTTTTTTTTTAGAAATGAAAGATTATTCACAAATGAGTGAAGATGTTTTGGTATTGAATGTGAAAGAATTCCTTTACTGTGATGATGATTACAGCATGAGGTTCTTCATTGTATTATAGTTACGAGAGAGAGAGAGAGAGAGAGAGAGAGAGAGAGAGAGAGAGAGAGAATACTATATATTACTACTAATAATTTGATGCAGCATATATTTACTTTTCCCGATCAAAGGGAAATGTTTGAAAAATATATAAGAAAAATATGTCAATACATGTGAATCCAGCTTATATGTGCATGCAAATAATTAGATAAAAACATAATATATTAACTATTTCAGAAATTCTTATATAAATCCTCTAAAAAAAACTATTTTAGATCATGATATTTTAAAATAATTCAACATAGACACACTTTAAGAATCCCAGATTTAAGCAACACTTACCATCAAAGCCATAACTGTGAAACCCACTGCTGAGATGAGGATCCACACCCTTAAAAGAAAGAGAGACATTACTGTCAGAGTTTACAAGATGTTGGACTTTACTGGAAGTGAAACCCAGCTGCCCTTCCACAGTCCGCTGGGGTTAACTGAGAGCTGCTCTGAGCTTTTCAAATCTCACCTCAGGCCGATGGGCTCCCGCACCGCAAACTTCATCTCATTTCCCAGCATCTGACTGATCTGTGAGTGAACAAAGTAAGACAAAGGGAAATGAATCATGAGTAGGAAATCTATTATGACAGCCTTCAACAAAGCATGGCGTAACGAAGAATAAAATGCTCAGCATGCAGGTGCTCTCCATGTTGCCAACACATCTACAGGAAGTTAAAGGGAAAAAAATGACTTTAACCAAAGTGATGGGGAGAAAGAAAAGAGGCTGAGTGTCAAGAAGGACATATTAGGATTTTAATTAAAGACTGGGAATGTCTATGCGTCCTTAATCATCCTCCGACGATTCAGAGGGTATGTCATAACATCATATTGCAGTACATTCTGGATGAATACCCAAAACCAAGTGCAAGCCAGAAGGAAAACCTAATTTGCTATAAATTAACTTATTCCTCACAACACGAACGCCACGCATTAGTCAATTCATAACCCCGAGGGCCTGAAGTAGGAAACTTTTTTGACAAATTAAAAGCAATTTATTTTTTCTTGTGAATATAAATAACTGTTATCTTTAATATTTCATTTAAAAGAATAATCAATCATGCAGCAATATTCAAATACTTAGCTCACATCACTGATAAGATGCAAGCAGACGCTGGAATGCTGTTAAATGGTGACGTGTTCTCTGCTTCATCAGCCACTAATATATTCATACGAAGGTCTCTGGAAACTGCAATATGAATACAAGCACACTCCCTGGCTCAATTTCCGTTAAGTCTGATATATTACCAGACTTTCTCTTCTAAAACTATCTGATGGCATGATGCATGATGTTGTCATGAAACATTCACGTTATTAATTGATAGACAGAATATGTATCAATGACACATTTGATAATCAATGAATAACCCATAACAAATCATTTATCAAACTTCCAGCTTCTAAGATTGAAGATATTCTGATTTTGTGTTTTTTATCAATTTGAAAATCTTTGCTTTTTTCGATTGGGCTCTGTAAAATTCTCAATGCAATTTCTCACATTTCTCTCACATTGTTTAGACTAAAAGCAGAAGGTTAGTCGATAATGACAATAATCTCTACATCTCAAGAAACAGAAAAATAAATCAGTGGGCTAAACCTTCATACAACATGCCATGCACGATGTCAAGTGGAAAGAGACAATCTATGTGTATCTGTGTGTATATTAATATCAGTATATGAAGAGTAAAAAACACGGTGGCTTGCAGGTCAGGAGCACTAATTTGTTTTGCATGAAAGGAGGAATTGTTGCTGACAAATTTAGATTTTCTATTTCTGTTTCTATTTATTAATTTTTTTTGAGAAAGGGGAAGGTAATATAAGATTATTTTCTTCTCCCTGCTCCTTTTCGGGAATGGTGTGTTTATAAAGTAGAGACATTTTTTGTAAATAATTGTTATACATTAAAGGTGGGGTAGGTAAGTTTGAGAAACCGGCTCGAGATACACTTTTTGTTATATTCCAAGGAATGCTCTTAACATCCCGATAGCAATGAATATGTGTTTTGACAAAAAATCCATAAAAAATGGAAGCCGTAGTACTGTAAAAAGCACGACCAATCATTTTAGCCGGCCCCGCTAAAATAACTGGATGGCCTACCTGCCTGTCAGCCTTCCATCTGTGCACGAACTTATCTCGTGCCCTCATTGGTCATGTGCGCGTTCGTGTGTGTTGGAGGAGGGGCTCTGTAAGGAAGTGGCAGATTTTTTCCGGCTGTGTATTTTCAAATTCTATCGCACTCGAGCTGGTTTCTCCAAAATTACCTACCCCACCTTTAAGTTGTGCATACCATGAATGGAACAAATAAAAATGAAACTAAATGAAATGTTGGTCTTAAAATACACAAGCATGGGCAAGAAACAAGTCAACCCTGCTTTCCTCCTGACAGTTACCCAGAGAGAAAAAACATGGCTGGTTGGCTTCGAAGTTGTGTTCCTTCGACCAAAATCCTGCAGGTCTTATCACACCTCCCCCACATGAAAGAGTTCCCTTCATCATCCAACATCTCTTCCTTAAAACATTTGTTTGTGTTGCAGTGAGACATGGCATCACTGAAACTAAAAATACACCTAGCCTTGAAACCCATTAAATCTGAGATGAGGAACCGTTTTCTCTCCAGCAGTGTTTAGAGGGGAGTCACTATCAATGGGAACCTTTTCTTCTGCTTGGCTGTGAAATGAAGTGAAAGAAACAACATTGTTTGTGTCTTATTCTAGAAAGATCAAGTCATGGGTTTTGCTTTCTATGATTCCCCACTGTGAACTTTAATTAATATAGCACTGCAACAGGAACACAACTGTGTTCAATCAAATCACATCATGAGAAATAACTTCATGAATTTAAGGCAGTCTGAAATATCGAATATTACAATGTTTAGGGGAGGGACATATGACAAATATTATAAAGTTGTTGTGATATAAGACTTTATATGGTCTATGTATTTTATTTGTATATTGCATATATATAGACATTTTATTTATTGGGATGAACCCATGCACCATCTCGTTTTCAAGGGGGTCCCGAGCTTCCTGGAAGCAACATTTCATGATGTCTAAAATAGAAGAGAGGAAGATATAAAAAGGTTTAATGTGTCTTAGAAGAAATGGAGTAAAAAGGATTCTCTGTGTTCCTGACTTTTTCTTATATAATTTCTTTCGCCCATGGCTGGTGCTGGATTTTCATATCATAGCAGAGCCCTTAAAAAAATATATATCCTTGAAGTTAAACTCATAAAACATTGAGATAAAGAGTTGCAGATTACAGCCGTTGCCTGTCTTTTTGCACTGCAGCTGAAGTGTCTGTTCATGAATGTGTTGGTGCCAGCTGTGATCATGTGACCAGGTGAATCAGCCTTCCTGTGCCATGGTTTCAGGGGTGGTTTTTGACAGGAACACATAAATATTCATGACTGGCATGAGAAATACTCAAAGGGAAATGAGCATCGACTCACGGCACAGACTTTGCTTGCCGGGGGGGTTAGAGCGGAAAGGAGTTGGGGAGAGAATGAGAAACAGGAAAAGGAAGAAATGCATGTTGTTTGTGATGAGAGACGCTTAAATCACAGCTGCTATGACCTTGTCGCCAGTCACTCAGTCATTTATATAAAAGCACACAAAGGGCAACTCGAGAGATCATGACAAATATTCAGGAGTAGTATAGGAATTATAATCTCTTATTCAACACACTACATTTTCCTTCATCTGATGTATGCAGTGCAGTCACATTAAGTAGATAATATCAACATTTCATACGTCTCTGTGATAATCCTCTGGGATAGAAAATAAATACACAAAACGCTGTTGTATGCCTTATCTGTGAAAGCCTGTGCTCAAGCCTGGTTGTTGTTTTTTGACCTGAACACTAAAGTAGTGTACCAGTGGCCTAAAACAGCCAAAGGGCAATATTTCTTCACTGTTGTACTTTCACATACTCGAGCACAGAAGCCTCTTTCTCACCGAAGAATAAGAAATATGAACAGAATTCTTTCTCTAAGCTGTAAAAGAGGCAGGAAGACACACTCAGCCGATTACAGGAGTCCTTCCCTCCTTTGTTTACAGGGACCACAGGGATAACGTGGACTATTTCCCCTCCAACTCTTGCAGCTATCTATCAGATCCCATGGGTCTCTTTACCACCAACACTTGTTGCAAGGACAAATAGAACAACTAAAGAGTAACTACACAATGCAGCACATTTTAAAAGCAACTATTGTGTTTCTAAATTAGGGTCATTGCCATAGTTAGATACAGTAAGGAAGCCTACTACTTAAAACAACAATAGACTAAAAGTATTGTGTTGCTCTATTTAGCATAGACTGTTGCTTGATCACCAACTAACCATTACAGCTGGTACATGACTTTAATAATCCTTTTTAAATCAAATAAGCTTTATGGGCATTGAGTCATTTAGTGTCTCCTTCTCCATCAGAACGCTCGGTGAGAGGGATCTAAGTGGCAGATGCCCGGGTTAAGCTCCTTGCTAAAACATTGAGAGAGAAAACAAACACTCAGAAGGGCTGAGAAATGAGGGCGTCTTCTCATCACAAGCTATCAGTCACCAACGTATGCCTGCTCCCTTCTGCTCTGTTCCCTTCGCCCACTTGCCTGATTAATATTTCAGCGAGGAACAGCTTTGCCTATGCTCACCCTAATGCAATTGTATACAACAAGTAACCTTAGGGATCTTGATGTATAATCCCCCTGAAATGGAACAAACCATCATTGTCAGAATGCGACTGAGTCTGCATGAATATATAGATGTGTTTTTCTGTATCCTGTCACGAACCAGCATGGGAGCCGTTGTGTTTTGGTATACACATCACTGTGCACTGCGTATATGAGTGGGTAAACACATGCGAGGCAGGAATATAATACATGAGATGCATAAGGCAAGGGACTCTCTCAGGGGAGCCAGTCACATCTCAGTGGAGCTCATGCAATACGTGATCTAGATTCACTGAGGCATGAGGAGCAAATGCACACAACGGGACACTATGAGAGTGATCAGCCTATTAGCTGCCATTTGTGGCTTTAAAAAGGAATCCATAGCTCTACTCAGGGTTAATGAATGCATCTGTGATCAACTGCAGATGGTTTAACACATGTGCCTTTTTTTCTTTCTAAGTCAACGTTATTCAAGCCTTTATTTATCCAGGTGTATCCCTTGAGATCATTGATCTCTTTTTCAAGGGAGACCTGCTCAAGTAGGTTCCACATGAAACAACAGAACAACAAAAAGGACATCATACAGCATCATTACAGGGATTACAATTTACATAACTATCCACATGAACAGGTACCAACAGCATCCGATCGAGTAGCATCCAACCGAGCTTTAAAAACATTTAGTGGCACCAGATTGCTCAGTTTCCATTTCAACTGACTATTCCATGACAGAGGAGCTGCGCATCTAAAAGCTATCTTCCCTAAGACAGTCCTAGCACTTGGCACATTTAATAAAACCACAGCATGCGATCTCAAGCAGTAGCCACTTACAATTCGCCGTGAGGTCAGGGAGCAGATGTAGGATGGAAGTTTCCCTAACATGGCTTTGTAGATGAAAATGTACCAGTG